TGGGTCTTGCGTGGGCGCCCAAACCGTTCCAGAATTCACCATACACGCCTTGGACGTCAGCGCTACTTAGCCATGCCAGAGGTTTCGGGTTGGTAGGGTTCAGGGTTTAGGGTTTAGGGTTTAGGGTTTAGGGTTTAGGGTTTAGGGTTTAGGGTTTAGGGTTTAGGGTTTAGGGTTTAGGGTTTAGGGTTTAGGGTTCAGGGTTCAGGGTTTAGGGTTTAGGGTTTAGAGTTTAGGGTTGATAGGGTTTAGGGTTTGGTTTCGGGTTTAGGGTTTAGCGTTTATACCATGCTAGAGATTTCCGGGAGGAGGAAGGGCGCCCCGACAGCAGAAAGCAACTAGACGCCCCCTGACTGCGGTTTTCTGTCTTGGCTACTTAGAGGTTCATGGTACTTGTTAACAAACTATAACTGCACTTCTAACCCACTTATAAGCCCCCTTTTTTAAACCCCAATCATAAGTTTACTTGTCACCTCCTCAGAGACTCAGAGGACTTAGGGGGGACGTACAGCTATAATTGGGGTTATCCTAAACCCTAAACCCTAAACCCTAAACCATAAGTACCCTGAACCTCCCAGTAGCATGGTCTGGGCTCGTCATCCCTGTTGATGCCTCCCTAAACCCTCAGACCTAAGCGTCCATGTACCCACATGGTATATGGGTCTTAGAGACTGGGTTTGGAGTACTATACTTTAATCCATGTTTTTGGTTCTGTGTTCTCCTCATAGCCACTTATACCAGAAAAAAAGTATATGCTTGTTTGCCAGGGTTTACTCCTAAGCCGGGTAAAGGGCTTCCCAACGCTATATGGGCGCATGGACGCTTCCAAAAGCCTCAAGCGGTCGCCCCACTGTGAGGAACTGCTAGCAGCCCCCTGGAAGAGGAGATTGGGAATTTGCCTCGATGTCCAATTGTAGCTTTCTCTTTGGGGTACCTAGCTTTATGTATGGTTTGGGGTTTGGAGTTCAGGGTTGTACGCACCATAAGCATGGGTACCCAAGAATGGGGGCTCTTACACACGCTTTAAACCCCAAAAAGAAAGGTGCGCATTCCGAGACAGGAGCTGTAGTCTTACCAGCTCTCAAAAAGGAATCGGGGAACCACATACCTTATATTCCCCTTTTGTACTCTTTCAAATAGTTATGGAGGGAACCTACCAAGAACCACTGCGCAATTGTGGGTTTAGGAGGAGATTTGGGCTGCATTGCTGGTTGATGTCGCAGTGTTGCAGCTGGGGTTCCGGTTTGCCCTGACCCTAAACTCCAAACCCCAAACCTAAACCCTAAGCCCGACCCTAAACCCAAAACCCAAAACCCTAAACCCTAAACCCTAAACCAGAAAACTCCTAAGCCCTAAACCCTAAACATTGGTTGATGTTGACGTTCTGGGGGCTCCCCCGGCTTTCTCTGTTGGGAAGTTGCACTTAGGGTTTAGGGTTTAGGGTTTAGGGTTTAGGGTTTAGCGTTTAGGGTTTAGGGTTTAGGGTTTAGGGTTAGGGTTTAGGGCTTTCAGGATTTGAAGGGTCAGGGAGGGCGAGCTGAAAGAGGAACGAGAGAAGCGCATGGCAGCTGCGGTCAGGGCGGCCAAAAGCTGAACCCTAAACCCTAAACCCTAAACCCTAAACCCTAAACCCTGAAGGGATGGTGCAGGATCTGTCTAAGCTGCAGACACCTGTGCTTTCCCCCCTTTTGCCTCACTCGCTGTTGGTTTAGGGTGAGGATCCCTCATCAACGCACCTTAGAGATTCTATAGGCAACTGGGGAAGAGACCCTGAACCCCTAAACCCCTAAACCCAAAACCTGAGATCTGATACCCTATGCCCTAAATCCTTTCGGGTGCCACTCTTGCCCCTTGCTCAGGTTGGAAGCCGAGCCCCTTAGTATGGTCCCCTACCTTGTATAGAGATCCGAAGTATGGGCCCTTAGCATAGTATAGTGTATTATACAAGGGGTGTACAACAAGGGGCCCAAATTAGGGTTTAGGGTTTAGGGTTTAGGGTTTAGGGTTTAGGGTTTAGGGTTTAGGGCCCATACTTGGAACCTTTTAGAGTTTTGGGCTACAGGGGAACCGAATGCTAGGAGGACCCAGGCGTGCCGGACCTTGAACCCGAGTTCATGTACCAGGCCGGCCGACCAGTGTCTACTCGTAGGCTCGTAGGTAGTGCAGGGTTTCGGGTGGTTTGGGTAGGATTTAGGGTGTGGTTAGGGTTGTTTGGGTCAGTCCCAGGCTGTTTGTGTGACACTAAACCCTAAACCATCGATCCATGTGCCCAACTGCTGATGAAGTTCTTCGAATCTATTTTGTATAAGGTTCACCTTTCTGAACAAACCCTAAACCCTAAGCCCTAAACCCTAAGCCCTTTGCAGATACCAAGGATACACGCAGGGGCGATCACCGGAAGAGAGAGCAGACCCCTCGACCCTAGACCCTAAACCCCAAAGGTTCATTCCCTAGGGTTTAGGGTTTAGGGTTTAGGGTTTAGGGTTTAGGGTTTAGGGTTTAGGGGCCCTTGGGAAAGTTTATGTTTTTCCATTTTTGGGAATTTAAGTGGGTCATGCTTAGGAATATTTTTCAGATCGTTTTCAGGGCCATCCGTCTCGGTTCTAGGCTTGGGCTGTAGGCCTCGGGATCCTAAATTTCCTAGGCTTTCGGGTTCAGGGTTTAGGGTTTAGGGTTTAGGGTGCCCTGAATCCTGGACACTTGGGATGTTGGACCCTTGTACTAACAGTCCTCTGTCTGGATCATAACTTCGGTGTACGAGAATCCCTATTAAGGACTGCTAGCAGCAGGGGCAACATCCCAACCTGGACCTTAAGTTCTAACAAAGCGCCATATCTGTTGTTGAAGTTTGTTCTTTCCTTCTGTTCTCTATGAGCCCTGATTCAATCCTACAGAATCCAGTTTTGCTGGGGGCCCTCAAAATCCAAATCCAAACCCCAAAAAGACCAGAGTCCCGTAACAAAGTACCGTCCCATAAAGCCTAGACTAATCCTTATCCACTCCAAACCCCGTGATCCCAAGAAGACCATGAGACCCCCAACCCCAAAGGCATCCTGTGTTTTGGGTTTAGGGTTTCGGGTGTAGGTTTAGGGTTCAGGGTTAGGGGTCTCGGGGTTTAGGGGGTTGGGGTTTGCTGAGGGTTTGGGGTTGAGGTTCAGGTTTAGCAGTTTAGAGGTTCGAGTTCACAATTTGAGGGTCCAGGGGTTTATTTAGGGCTTCGGAACCCCTAAGCTTCGGAGCCCCTAAGCCCGAACCCCCTGAACCCCTGAACCCGCCTGAACCCAAATACTCATAAAGCTAAGAAACCTGAAGCCTTTGATCAGGGAACTGGCCCAGGGCCTTCTAACCCTAAGCCCTGAACCCTAAACCCTAAAACCTAAACCCTAAACCCTGAACCCTGAACCCTAAACCCCCCCAAAACCTGTCTTTTCGGAGTGCTAGGACGCGGACGCCGCGAGCTGCACTGCCGCATGTAGAGGGGCGCAGGGTTCAGGGCCGCAGGGTTTAAGGACTAAGCACTATTTAGAGGCCTAAACCTTATAAGACCTAAACCCTAAACCCTGAACCCTGAACCCTAAACCCTAAACCCTAAACCCCAAACCCTAAACCTTAAACCCTAAACCCTAAACCCTAAACCCAACTTTCGGGCTCCTTCGTTGAAGGAACTGGCCACGCTCAGCAGTGCTCCCTTTGCTGGCGTGGTATGGGGGATCCCTAAGAGAGGGTTTAGGGTTTAGGGATTAGGGTTTCGGGTTTAGGGTTTAGGGGTACCCTCCTGGAGATTCCTGTCATAAGGCTTGTAGTGTTCGGGGCTCCCCCCGTTTCTGTTGAAACGTTCATCTGAGGATACAGGGAGGTTAGGGTATACTGCGGGTGCGCCTTTCTTTTGGAGTAAGCGGACCCCTCCTGCATGTGCCATCAGCAAGAACTCACATGATCACTACGCGCTTGCGGTCTGAACGCACACGCCTGCAGAGTTTGGGGTTTAGTGTCAAACTCCCCCAAACCCCGCACCCCAAACCACCAAGACACCGCCACAGCCACAATAACCCAACACACACACACACACACACACACACACACACTCATACCCCTAAACCCTAAAACAATAAGACGAAATCGCTCCGGAATGCTTCGCCCCCGAAGCCACAGCAGTGGAGTTGAGGCGATCCTCTCCTTGGCACGCTGCTGACGGCTGCCACTGGGCCTAAGCCCCCCTAAACTTCTAAACCGTTTAGGGCTTAGGGTTTCGGGTTTAGTAAACCTTAAACCCCTAATTTCTGAACCCCCCAAACCACTAAAAACCCCTGAGCCCGAAATCCGGTAAGCACCTAAAACCCTAAAAACACCCAAGCTCCAAACACCCTGAAGCCCCAAACAAAAACCCTAAACAAAACCTACAAACCCATGAAGGCCCTAAACCCGAAAGCTCCCAAACCCCTTAAGTCCCCTAAAGCCCCTTTAAGACCCTAAAACCCTCCACCCCTCGAGCCTATAACCCCTAAACCCTAAACCCTAAACCCTAAACCCTAAACCCCTTCATGCCCTGGGGCCATCCTGAACCTTACAGTGATGCAGTACACTTTAGAACTTTATAGGGCTTAGGGCTTATAGGGTTTAGGGTTTAGGGTTTAGGGTTTAGGGTTTAGGGTTTAGGGTTTAGGGTTTAGGGTTTAGGGTTTAGGGTTTAGGGTTTAGGGTCAGAAGTTGTAGTGCTTATAGTTGCATGTATATGTATAAATATATATATATATATATATATATGTATGTTATACAGTTTGTTGTAAAGTAGCATATATCAGCAACACAGAAGCTGTGTACATATATATATATATGTATGTGCACACAAGATTGAGCTGTAGCTATCTTCGGCTGCCGAGCCCGGTGAGGGCGAGTGACAGATATCAAGTTTAGAGCCGAATTCAGGTGCCTGTTCAAACGCCCCAATCGTCCCAGCAGGTTTTCACCGCCAGGCCCCCGAGCAAACCTCTGGTCGAGCCATGGCTGAAGCAGAGGCGATCGGTGCAGCCGTGGACGTGGACACCGTGGACGATGCTGTGCCCTCAGAGTTTCCGGCCGGGAATGCGCAAGCGGAGCAAGAGGACTGCAGCTGAGTTTTTCTTGTTCACGTGGGTCACAGTGTGGTGTCGTGTGACCTGCCACAAGCTTGCTGGGCTTGTTCAAAAGCAGATTGCAAGTCACACACCCGAGCCGCAGGGCCCTGTAGCCCCCGCAGAGAGCCTTGCCCGAAGGCACGAGCACAGCGGCGGTACTCGGCCACCCTAGCGAGGTGGGTGTCGGCCATGAAGGTGCTCCGACCGGACCTGGTTCGATCGATCTTTGCCTACCAGGCTTGGGGAGGCTTAGGGCTTAGGGTTGAGGGGCTTGGGTCTAGACGGGTTTAGGGTTTAGGGTTTAGGGTTTAGTAAGGGGAGGCATGAGAGTTGCGGATTCTGGCGCTTCTGGGTTCGGCAGGCCCTCTCCTTCATGGGCAGTGCCCTGCGTGGCGGCGGCGTGCGAAAACTGCAGCGCCTGCATCGACGGAGCCGAGCCACCGAAAGCATCGACGAGTTTTGGACGCATTCCTGGCAACTTGGCCCTACCCAAAAGTTCCTCTGCCTCTTGTTCTTGAAGAATGGCCTGCCTGCCAGCGTGGCTGGCAGCTCGTCTGCAAGACTCCCGGTGCCCAAAACAAGCCCAAATCCCCACAAGCCCTAACCCCCTAAAACTCTGAACCCTAAACCCCATAAACCCTAAAGCCGCGGGGGCTCTCGGAACAGGTACGTTGGCGGCCTGTATTCCATTCTTTTTGATGTACTACGGCTACTTGTCGGACGCGTATCGTCCGGCATGGCACCCAGAACCTGGGCAAATCCCATACTTCTGCACGGCGGCCGGGACGGTTACCTCGGTGCTGACACTTTTCCTCTGGCCGTCGCGAGTCGCTGGTTGCACTTTGCACCCTGAACCCTGAGACACTAAACCCCTCAATCAGCGCACTTGGAGGCGGGTTTAGGGTTTAGGGTTTAGGGTTTAGGGTTCAGGGTTTAGGGTTTAGGGTTTAGGGTTTCGACAGACAGACAGCTTTCCCTATCCGTCACCACTTACTGCTTGATGTAGAGTTTTCGGGTGTATGGTCTGTGGCAAGTCTATGGTCATTCTCGCGCAGACCCCGAGGCCAAAGTGTTCCTGGACGTCTGCTGCATCGATCAGGCGAGGGTCGTGGAAAGTTGTGGACACAGGCATACTTCCCACACATCAGAAAGTACCCTAAACCGTCCCTAAACCCTAAGCCCTAAACCCTAAACCCGAAGCCCTAAACCCTAAGCCCTAAACCCTAAGCCTTACACCCTAAACCCTAGACCTCTGTTAGTTATGCCCTGCTCTTCTGGCATGATAGAAACAGGTCACTGTGAAGTAGGGTGGACTTGTTCATGGGTAGCTTTTTGGGTCCCCTATCATAGAACCCAAACTGGACCCTGATTTCGCGAACTTCCCCACCTGACACGTCTATAGTCTACAGCGTATAGGGGTGAAGGCCCCAAGCTTTCTTTGAGGTGGACGCGCAGAAGAAGGCCGAAGGTGTCATGGGCCAAGAATGGTGTATAATAATCATATAAGTGTATGTATGTGTATTTCTTACGATAGTACAATAAGATTGTGTCACTACCATTATTGCTGATTCTATTTCATCCATCGTAAATTACATTTTTCTTTTGCTATCATTCTTATTTTTATTGTTATTTTTTGTATATGATTGTTATTATTAGTATTCTTATTGTTGTTGTTATTATTAAGATTCTATATACAATATAAGAACATCAACACAGAAAAAGAAATGATGTTGTAATAATCCGGGAGCCCTGAGGCATCGCCAGCTTGGCAGGGATATTGAAGCAGTCCAAACGACTGCTGGTACTCTGGGACCACACCTACATCGAAGCTTTGCTTGGGCGATGAGTGTAGGCCTAAACCCTAAACCCTAAACCCTAAACCCTAAACCCTAAACCCTAAACCCTAAACCCTAATTCCCCTTCAAGACACAGAGGGCCTGACAGTCGAGCACTGAGGAGAGGCTTTGGTGCGTGTTTGAAGTCGCCGCTTTCCTGCATCGCACTGGGAAGCCCCGGACTCATAGTAGCTGAATGAGTACACTTTACACTTTTTTGGGATACCAGAATCTTCTATAGAACTGGGAGTGCACACTTTTTTTTTTTGGGGGGGGGGGGGGGGGGGGTGGGGGGTGGGGGGGGGTGGGGGGGTGGGGGTGGGGGGTGGGGGGTGGGGGGGGGGGGTGGGGGGGGGGGGGTGGGGGGGGGGGGGGGGGGGGGGTGGGCGCTGATGAACTCAGCAAGTAAGGGCTGTGATACGGCCTACACTTCTAGGGCCTGCGGCGATGGTGGCTTGGGCGGCAACCCCAACCATTGGATTTCTCTGGACGGTCTTCTATGCGTGGCCAGAGAGGAACAAAGGATACAACGTGATTGTGGTTCAGTGCTTCTTCTATGTGGTGTTTTATTGGGCGACGGCGGTCATGAGGGCCTATCATCACAGCATCGAGATCTTTCACGCCCAGCTGCTGAGCTTCCGGCTGGCGGACACAAAATGCAGGTGTTGCACTGTGAACCATGTCGCAGAAGATGGCACGGTACTGCCTTGCGATCGCAAGATTGTGGAACGATGCATTCGTAACTGGTTCGGGAGCGTGCAACAATTTGAAGAATTTGCAGCACCTCTCTTGCGTTCCACCTTCGACCAGCAGCTTGGACAGGACATGTTCCCCTACGGCTCCTTGGCTTAGGGTTTAGGGTTGAGGGTGGAGGGTTGACGGTTGACGGTTGAGGGTTTAGGGTTTAGGGTTTATAGGTGCTCACGGTGCGCCCAGTATGCGGGGTTGCATCGTGCGTTCCCAAACCTGTGAACTGGGGGCTTGCGAAAATCAGGGACCCCTAAGTGATCCACCCCCAAATAGTATAATGAGGACCCCAATAAGGCACACCCCCCAAATGTCGGAAACTCCCACAAGTCAAGGCTACTTCCTGATGATTTTCTGTCCAATCCTTTGGACCGGCCTAGACACGAGCAGCGGGGCGTGCTGGCCTTGCACCGAGGGCGAGGCTTGGCACCGCCAGCTGGCTGGTTTCAGAAGTTTTTCGGTTGAAGGCTCAGATATGTGCCGCTAAGCCCTTACCCTAAGGGTCCATGTACCCATAGAGCCAATACTTGGGCAATAAGAGGGGTTCCCAGATAGTAGCTTTATGCCCAAGTAAACACGATCTGGATACATGGACCCTTTAGGGGTTAAGTCATCCCTGAAGGACGATGGTTCGCGCACTGGCTTTATTACTTCCTGGGCCTATGGCTGGGCATCATGCCCACCACAGCCAAGGCGGTTTAGGGCTAGGGCCAGGGGTTGAGGGTTCAGGGTTGCTGAGTGAATGCTTCAGGGTCGCCACGTACTCTGGTCGCATGAACTGTTTGAGTGAGTGAGTGAGTCGACCGAGGCACGTGCCGGCTGGAAGCACTTACCTGGCCTAACAAAAAGGCACACCTCCGGCCCGAAAGCTCAAAGTGTCAGCCCCAACAGCTACGAAACCAAAAAAAAAAAGGAGGCAACAAACACGTGGAGACGAACGGAAAACGGCCCAGTCAAGCAAGAGGGTGCGTTACCTTCCGAACGAAGCAGTCACCAGGCAAGCCCGCCACCTACACCAACCGAGCAGATTCCTGCTCGGCTGGGCAGGCATAAGGGCAAGACAGCTTGTCATCCTCGCGATACGCAGCTCTTTCCCCGCAGGTCACCCTCCGAGGTACAGGCCAAGTAATGTAATCACCGTCGCCTCTGCAATGGGCAGCGCACGACGCGTGCCATTTCGGCTAGCACGTTTTTCCGCAGATCCCTCTGCCAATACTTCAGGTGCCCAACACGACATTCATGCGCCCGGACCCGCTCACATCACAGCCTCAAACCTTCACTCCAGCACACAAGGGCCCGCCTCCGCAAATGGCAATACGATGCCATGGCTGGTCCCCATTCAGTCTGCACCCGAGTGGTGGGATGGAGCCCAAAGCTGTGGGCAACATCCCGCGGAGGAGCGATAAAGTAGTGTTTTTAGAGCCTGATTCCAGAGCCCGCCATAGTCAACACCCTAACCCCCAAACCCGCCACCCTAAACCCCCCTAAACCCTAAACCCTAAACCCTAAACCCTAAACCCTAAACCCTAAACCCTAAACCCTAAACCCTAAACCCTAAACCCTAAACCCCAATCCTTGGCGAGGTGGGCCTGTACCTCACGAACCGCTTCTCCGCGCCTCGCCGCTACCTGGCGTGCGACGTGCTGCTGAGCCTCGGTGGCACTTGCAGCCAGGGGGTTGGGGATCCGTTGTCGGGCTTCAGCCTAGGCCCTAAACCCTAAACCCTAAACCCTAAACCCTAAACCCTAAACCCTAAACCCTAAACCCTAAACATATTTAGGTTTTAGGGTTTAGGGTCCAGGATACATGAGGACAGATGGGCCCTTGTATGCCAGACTTGACCATGGAAGCACCGAAAGCGTCCCTGACATTCGACTTTCCGAATCCAGGCCCGAAACCCTAAACCCGAAACCCGAAACCCTCAACTGTCAGGAACCTGCTGATCGTCACGGTGATGAATATGGTCTTCGGCCTTGCCTTGCAGGTCAGGTCAGAAGCCGACATAGGGTGCGGGGGGGGGGGGGTTCTGGTTCCCAGTTCGGGGGTCCTGTTTGGGGTACGGTACCGTACCTGCATCTACCACAATAGTTTCAATGTTGAGAACAAGCCCCACATATCCTCTGATCTCCGGAACCCAACCCTCAACCCTAAACCGTACATGAACACTCCGGTCCTCCAGAGTAGGGGGGGGCGGTGGGGGGCGCTAAAGAGGCCATCCATCCTCGGTGGTCCCATGAAACCCTTCCCCTCTTCCACACCCCAGACCCCTGTAAGTCTAGCCCCTAAACCCTAAACCTACAACCCTAAACCCTGAACCCCCTAAACCGGGAACCTTAAACCCCTACACCCCAAACCCTCAACCCTAAACCCTGAACCCCCGAAACTGTGAACCTTAAACCCCGACACCCCAAACCCTAAACACTAAACCCCTGAACCCTAAACCCCTAACCCCTGAACCCTAAACCCTAAAGTCCTAGACCATTGAACCCCTAAACCCCTGCCCCCAAACCCCAAAACCTAAGCCCCTGAACCCCTAAACCCGTACCCCCCCAAACCCTACACCCTAAAACCTAAACCCTAAACCCGAAACCAACCCTTAAACCCCTGAACCTTAAACCCGTACACCCCAAAACCTGCACCCTGAACCGAAACCCCTAAACTCGAAAACCCCTAAAACCCCTTAAGCACCCAAGCCAGGAGCTCCAAGTTGGGTCTTTCTTTGGCTGGCGCTCTGTTCTTCCCCTAAACCCTAAACCCTAAACCCTAAACCCTAAACCCTAAACCCTAAACCCTAAACCCTAAACCCTAAACCCTGAAAGGTGGGCACCATCTTCAACGATAACGACCCCCGCTGGGTGGAACAGGAGGGGGGGGGGGGGGGGGGGGGGGGGGGGGGGGGGGGGGGGGGGGGGGGGGGGCGGGTTTTGGAAGGGGCCCGTGGGGAGGTTTGGGAAGGGGGCGTGTTTCAGTTTTAGGGATTCTTAGTGGGGAAAGACGGGGCTTTTATCGTTCGTCTCGGGCTTGGGGGCTTTTTTTTCTATTCGGCACGAAAGTTGAGGCTTGAAAGGTAGAAGGTCTCGTCGTGAGATGTCCCGCAGTATTCTGAGGGTAGTTTCATGGGCCCCAACCTCCTTGAAAGGGTTTTGATGTATGGTCCCTTAATTTGTAAAGGGTATATAAGGGGTATATAAGGGATACACTTTTAAGAGCCCATCTTAAGGGCCCACGTAACGACGCTAAGAAGTATGGGCGGTAAATAAGGGGTGCCCCACGAGTTATACCAATAGTCATCGCCAAGCTACCTGGTCTATGGGAGTATCGCTCTTCGCGATAGAAAACGGCTGATACAACATGGGCCGAGGCGCTCAAAGAACTGGACCTGCCCCATGACTCCTACACTCGCTCAGCGCTCCTTTGCGTCACGTTCGTCACGCCGGCTGTGCAACTTTTTCTTGTGCCGCAACTTCTCAGACTTTGCCGAGCCCATCATCCGATCAAGAGGGAGAGGGCGGCTGTCTAAGCCCCAAACCCTAGACCTTAGAGCCTAACTCAACCCTTCTTCACCTAAACCCAACCCTAAACCCCCTGCCCGTTTTCGTGGTTTTGAGAGGATGATCGTGTCACCCGACTTTGAAGCAGAAGCTTCAAGGCAATCATGCAGAGGTTTCCGGCACTGACCTCCTCCCTGACTGTTCAGTTTACATATAGGGTTTAGGGTTTAGGGTTTAGCTACACTTATGTTTAAGTTCCGCTAAAGGGATGTACTTCAGATTGGAGCTCCTCTGACCAGGATCCTAAAGAGCCGTTTCCTAGTAGCCCTCAACCCAAAACTGGCTGCTTCTTAATTCTTATAGGGTATATATAGAGCCCTGATTCCCTCACTCCCTACGGGGAAAGCCCGAAAACCCTTGAAGTTAACCCCGTGGCACCTTCAATCTGGACACCTTTGCGCCGCCCTCAACAGTAGGAGTCGGCTTGCTTTCCGGCAGTTCTGACACGGACTTGTCTTGCTTTTGTCCTCGCGCCGCCCCCTCAAAGTAGGGAAAGGTGACTTTCTCCATTTAGATGTCTGTTTGAGGGTTCGCGCTGCTGCCGCAAGATTTCTAGTCGGGCGAGACGCCTTTGGATGCGTCGCATGGTGGCGCCCAATAGAGCGTGTGCACACCGTGGTTTTTGTTATGGCCGCCGCCCGGACCATTTCTTGGAACCCAACCGCAGGCGCATCGAAGGCACTTCATTGGGG